GGTGAGGTGGTACCTCACTGAAGATATGGAACCCTTCTTCAGGTATAGGACAACTAACACTAGATGACTGCAGGGGGTGACGTGGGGGGCCGGGGCAACCCAGGACCCAGGGAAGAGACTATACCCAGCTGCCAGCTTCAGGTACAGATGTCACTGCCATTTCTCGGGTCTGTGGCTGTCAAGGGCACTGCGTGGGTGGGAGAAGTTTCTTGTGGAGCCCCCAAACAGCTCCCCATCGGACTGCTTGAGGGCTGGAGGGACAACAGAGCCAGGCCCATCACAATGTGTCACCCAGGAGATAGGCCCTGAGCCCACAGGAAGCCGACTGCCTCTTCGGTACCCCGGGGAGCTGGCTTCAGGCTTTCCGGTCACCTGCCCATTGCTGTCCCAGGGCCTTTAGGAGGGTGTCTTTCTAGGGGCGGGGGCCCCTGTCTTCTTTGATGTCCCCTTCAGCAGTGCGAGCTTCTTAGGCAGGCTGGAGCTGGCCTTCATCACCACGTCATGCTCAATCTTCTTCCGGATCCCCACTTCCAGGCTCTGTGGGGGACACAGAGCAGCCCTCACTCTCCCCAGCCTGAACCTGAACACGAACACACACACACACACACACGCCCTTCCTTTTGAGAGCGGCTTCAGATAAAAGCTCTCCTTCCTTGACTTACCACCAGGCCTGGGTGCCCTGCTCATGCCTAGCAGCGGGACAAAGAATCCTTAAAGGGCCAGTAAGGCCAGAGGGCCAGAAGAAAGGATGAAAAGCGCTGAGATGGAGAGGTGAAGGGCCCGGGCAGGAAGCAGCCATGGAAGGTTCTGGGCAGAGGGGAACCAGTTTTGAGCACAGGCAGATGCCTCAGCGGCTAAGGCAGGGAGAGGGCAGAGTTGGCTAGGATCCAACCTTGAAGGTGATGGGCAGAAGTAGGTGGATTCTGGATGTATGCTAAAGGGACCAGACTGGGAAAGAGTGGAGTTCAAGGATGACCTCTGAACCTGGGAAGGCAAAAGGCAAAGTGGTCCCATGGTAGACTGTGGAAGGAATTCACTTAAGAACCGGAGAGTGGCTACCGCACGGAGCAGAGCAGGCTGCTGGGTAACCTACCTAGGGGAGGTACTGGGAAAACAAATGATCTACTCGAGATCTAAACCAGATTGGAGCCTCTAATTTTTCTAATTAATTTTTATTGACGTGTACAAGAGTGTTTTGCTCACACGTATGTCTGTGTACCACACGCATGCAGTGCCTAGACCGCACTGGAGATCCCCTGGGGCTGGAGTTACAGATGGTTGTGAGCTGCCATGTGGGTGCTGGAAACTGAATCGAGATCCTGGTGGAAGCGCTTCTCCTTCTGGCCTCTGTCGGCATGGGCACATACCCACACACATACATATAATTAAAACACATAGACTAGACTGGCCTGGAACTCAGACATCAGCCTGCTTCTGCCCCCAGCGGGCTAGGATCAAAGACGTGCGCTACCAAGCCGGCTTCAGCACTTGTGATCCCTGAAGACCAAGGTTCAGTTCCCAGCACATGCAATGATGGCTCAAAATCGTCAGTAATTTTAGTTCTACGGGACTGGACATCCTCTTCCGACCTCTTCGGGTACTAGGCACGCACTCTATGCACGCACACAGCAGATACAGGTGAAACACTAATACACGTCAACAATAAACCAGAAACCCGAAGCTATGTGCCGACAGGCCCTGACCCACATCAGAACCCCGGGTCACCCGCCGCCGCGCGCCGCTCACCTTCTTCAGCTTCTGCTGCTGCACGACGCGCGCCTTCTTGGGAGCGATGACTCGACCTACGGAGCGACACCAGCCTGTGAGCCTGGGCCGCCCGCCCCGAGTTCCGCCGCCCTCTCGCCTCCTCCACCCCGTTCCTCACCGCCTTTCCTCGGCCCTCGGCTCCGCTCCGCCGCAGCCGCCGCCTTGCTTTTAGGTTTCTGCGCCTGGAACTTGCGCTGTCCCTGCGCCATGGCTCACCACAAGCCGGAAGAGGCGGGGCCACGGCACGAGAGCCGGAAGTCGCGTGACGTCAGCGGCGGCAGTGGGACCCAGGGCGGCGCACTTGGAGGAGCTGCTGTCCAAAAAATTCGAAGGAGGATTTCGTTACCATTCACAGGGGCAGGACACTTGTGTATCATAAAACATGGTGGGTTGTGCTTTTTATACAAAAAAGTTCAAAATTAGGCTTGAGGTGAGGCAATCAAGGAACTCACTTTTGGTGGAAAATTAGGGGAGTGCCAAAAACCTGAAGTAATCTTTGGAGAGATGGCCCTGTGGTAACCGTGCCTGCTGCCATGCCTCATAACTGGTGTCGATCTCGGGTGGTGGCGCATTCGTTTTATCTCAGCACTCAGGACTGACTCCTGCAGGTTGTTTTTTAATCACATTCACACACATAATAAGTAAATAAACACGCCACTAAAAAACCCTTGGGTTGCCGGGCAGTGGTGGCTCACGCCTTTAATCCCAGCACTCGGGAGGCAGAGGCAGGCGGATCTCTGTGAGTTAGAGGCCAGCCTGGGCTACCAAGTGAGTCCCAGGAAAGGCGCAAAGCTACACAGAGAAACCCTGTCTCGAAAAACAAAAAAAACAAACAAAAAAACCCCCTTGGGTTACCATGATACTTAATTTTGCCCTGTGCTGGGCATTCAGCGTCACACTTACAGCACAAAACAGTCACAGCATCAGCTATGTTCTTTTATTATTTTTCCTTTTTTGAAACAGGGTTTCTCTGTGTAGTTTTGGTACCTGTCCTGGATTTTGCTCTGTAGACCAGGCTGGTTTTGCACTCAGATGCACCTGCCTCTGCCTCCCAAGTGCTGGGCTTAAAGGCATGTGCCACTGCCACCACTGCCACCACTGCCACCACGGCTTCTTTTCTATATTAAAGATTTAAAATATGCAGCTGGCGGCTGGAAACATCACTGAGTGGGTAAAGTGCTTACTGTCCATGGATGAGGACTTGAGCTCCATCCCCAATGAGTGATGGTGCACATACCTGTGGTGATAAATAGTTTGTGACCTAGGAAATAAAGCTTGCCTGAAGTTCAGAGGACAGAGCTAACCAGTTAGCCACAGAGGTCAGGCAGTGGTGGCACACACCTTTAATCCCAACACTAGGAAGGTTGAGACAGGAAGGGATATGGCTGGGCAGAGAAAGGAATATAAGGCAGGAGGAGACAGGAACCCGCTCTCTTTCAGGCTGAGGAGTTGGTGAGGTGAGAGGTGGTGGCTGTGGCTTGCTCTGCTTCTCTGATCTTTCAGCTTTCACCCTGATATCTGGCTCTGGGTTTTTATTAAGACTAATTAGGATTCGTGAAACACATACTTGTGATCCCAGTGCTGAGGGAACTGGAGACAGGAGGGTCCCTGCAGCCTAGCCTAATTGTTGAGTTCCAGCTTCAGAGACTCTCAAAACAAACAAACAAACAAACAAACAAACAAAGCAAAGCAGGCTGTAGTGGTGCACACCTTTGACTCTGCTCAGGAGGCAGAGGCAGGTGAATCTCTGTGAGTTCCAGACCAGCCTGGTCCACACAGCATGTTCCAGGCCTGCCAGGGATACATAGAGACTCTGTCTTAAAAAAACAAACATTGGCTGGGCGGTGGTGGCGCACACCTTTAATCCCAGCACTCGGGAGGCAGGCAGATCTCTTTAAGTTTGAGGCCAGCCTGGTCTACAAAGCAAGTTCCAGGAAAGGCACAAATCTACACAGAGAAACCCTGTCTCGAAAAACCAAAAACAACAACAAAAAACAAACAAACAAACAAACAAAAAACAACCATTAATCTTGATTCCTGAACTTTGGTGTCCTCGTCTAGAGGACTTGCTGCTCTTGCAGAGAGGACCTGGGTTTTGTTCCTAGCACCCACGTGGCAGCTCACAACCATCAATAACTCCAGTTCCAGGGGTTCCAGTGTCCTTTTCTGGCCTCAGGGGGCACCAGGCACTTGCATGTAAAGCACTGACACATAAAATAAAAATTAACAGCTGGGTGGCCGTGGTGCACACCTTTAATCCTGGACTCAGGAGGCAGAGACAAGTGGATCTCTGAGTTCAAGGCCAGCCGGGTCTGAAAGTTCCAGGACAGTGAGGGCTACTTAGAAAAATCCTGTCTTAATTACTCTAGACTTGTATTACATGAAATATATAGAATATACACATTCATAGACAGAAAGATTCGACGTTATCTCAAGCTGGAGAAGAGAGGAATACAGAGCAATGATTCCTAAGTTTCTGTGTTGTGTGATGGGAAAGCCCACAAACAGACAGTAGTATCAGGACATAATATCATGAATGTAATTAATCAATACAATCAATGTGATTAATGAATACCATAAATATAGTTATTGAATGAATACTGCAAATGTAATCAATGAAGACCACAAATGTAATTAATATCTTGATTGTAATTCATGCCACTGAATTGTGAACTTAAAAATGGTTACAATTGCAGATATTATGTTCATTTAAAAAAATAAGGTGGAATGTAATCACCATACATTATATGTGTGTATGAAATTGAAGACAGCGATGTTCTAAAACAGAAAGTGGTGATAGTGTCATGGGCCCATGAGGATGCTGAACTAAAGTTTATCAAATTGTACAAACAGGAAAATTGTATACTATGTGAATTATTTGTCAATAAAGATTTTATAAAACATAAAAAAAAACCCTGTCTTGAAAAAAACCCAAACAAATACTTCAAAGGCAGCTAAGACCATTCTGATTATCCCTATGTTGGTTTCCTGTTTGTTTTTTCAGTCTGTAGCCCAGGGTAGCCTAACACCCAAAGAAGGCCTCCAAGGAGCTGGGATTATAGGTATGTACCCCCACACTTGGCTTTGCACCCCATGCATGGTCATACGAAGGAGGAGCTGGAATGTGAACTTGGGCAGCTCTGTTGTAGATGCTGGGACTCTGCAGAGCCTGGTAAATCCAGTCTGCTTCAGCAGCTGGAAGAGGGGGTATGGGTGAGGATGAGCTTCGGGTAGCCATTTGAGAACTTTATTATAAAACCAGAGGAACCAGAGCAGGTCGGGAGAGCCAGCTAGTCACATCTGGGGACTATCTAGGGTCTGTCCCTCTAAGATGGAGGCACTTAGGGCTGCTCGGAGCTCCTCAGGGGCAAAGACACCCAGCTCAGTGATGATGCCACCGGTGATGAGTTCGTGGGGGGTAACATCAAAGGCAGGATTCCAAACCCGGATTCCTGCAGGGAGAGAGGGCACATGAGGCGGGGCTTTGGCTCTGGGAACTCCCTGGCTGGTGTCACTTGTCCTTACCACAGCAATTCTTGGGGTTAGTGAGTCCTTGAGAATCCAGGGGTCTACACATACCACATCATTCCTAAAGGTGCAGGCACCAAGGCTAGGAACACAGCCAGAGCTCCTGCTGCTCACGAAGGCCTCAGCCTCACGGACCCCATTCTTGCCTGCTCCAACATATAGGACTCCAGAATCTACCCCAGGGCTTTTGCACTGGCTCCAATGTGAGTGTGCTTAGAACATCTGTTCTGAGGTTCTGAGGATGGGGAGAAGCCCTTCACAGATGTTTTGAAAATCAATTTTAAAAATGTAATTACTTCTCTAACACATGGTCATATATGTAGCTTAGGCTGGCCTCAAATTTTCTATGTATCCAAGGCTGGTTTTGAAGTCCTTGTCTTCCTGCCTCTACCTCCCAGGTTCACCAGATGTGCACCACTAAAACCAGGAAATTATTTGAAAATATCTTGTTTATTCTTTAAGACTTTCTTACATGCATACAATGTATTTTGATTATTTTTAATGTGAAAATTTTTTTATGTAGTATTGGGTATTGAATCTCAGGCCTCTTGTACATTCTGGCAAATGCTCCATATCTGAGCTATATCCTTGGCCCCTTTTAAAATGTTTATTTTGAGACAGAGTTTATGTTGACTAGGCTAGCCTTGAACTGGTGATCTTGCCATGGCCTCATGAGCAGCCACTAGGGCCCTAGCTTTCTGATTTTTTTTTTCCTTCGAGACAAGGTTTCTCTGGGTAACAGTCCTGGTTGTCTTGGATCTCACTCTGTAGCCCAGGCTGGCCTTGATCTCACAGAGATCTGCCTGCCTCTGTCTCCTGAGTGCTGGGATCAAAGGTGTGTGCCACCACTGCCCATCTCGTCCTGATTTTTGAGATGAGGTCTCACCATGTAGGCCAGGACGACCCTGAACTCTTAGCTGCCCTCCTGCCTCAGCCTCTCGAGCGCTGGAGCGCAGGTGTGCACCACCATGCCCAGCTGTCTGTACAGACCTCTGTCCAGGCAGCCTGGGCAGTTTCACGCTTTCTGATTGTTTTGGTGTTTCAGACAGTGTCTCCCTTGGCAGTCCACATTAGCCTGAGTTCACTTGTGCCACCTGGTCTTGAACTTGTGGGGCTCTCCTGCCTGGGCTTCTGGAGTGCCGCTGGGATTCCAGGCTGCACCACCACACCCAGCACTATGTATGCAGTGTTCTGTCTGCAGGCCAGAAGAGGGCGCCATATCTCATTACAGGTGGTTGTGAGCCACCATGTGGTTGCCGGGAATTGAACTCAGGACCTTTGGAAGAACAGCCAGTGCTCTTAACCTCTGAGCCATCTCTCCAGCCCCCAGCACTATTCTTTACGAATGTCCATGTGCTCTTGCATATGGAGGCTAGCGGTCCACCTCAGTGGTGGTTCCGCAGGGACCAGCTTAGTTTTTGAGATAGTCTCTCACTGAGCCTGAGGCTGGCTGACTAGACCTGTCTGGATAAAAGCTCCAGGGATCTGCCTTCTCTGTCTCCCCAGCACTGGGATTCTAAACCTCTGCCATGCTGGGCGGTGGTGGCACATGCCTTTAATCCCAGCACTTGGGAGGCAGAGGCAGGCAGCTGGCTCTGAGTTCAAAGTCATCCTGGTCTATAAAGCAAGTTCCAATGCAGTCAAGGCTACCTACACAGAGAAATCCTGTCCCAAAAAATAAATTAATTAATTAAAAACAAAAACAAACAAATAAACAAAAAAACACCTGTGCCACGACAGCTGTCTTTTTAAAAAGTTGGTTCTGGGCACCAAACTCAGGTCCCCATCCCAACACTCTACCTACTGAGGCCCATCTCTAGCCAGCCAGCGCTATTTACAAAGTCTGACTTTGAATTTAACCTCCATCGTCAGAGTCCAGCTGAGGAGCTTGAATGAGCAAAGCAGCTCATGCCACGCAAGTCCACAGTACCCTGAGTGCCAAGCCCACACCTTACCCTGTGCCGCAATCCTGACTCCATTCACGTCGGTCAGCTCCTGGCTGGGGCGTTCCTCTATGACAATCTCCCTGCCCGTCTCCAGATGGAGGTCACAGGACGAGCTGGGGGCGGCCACGTAGAAGGGGATACCGTGGTGCTTGGCGACAATGGCCAGCTGGTACGTGCCTATTTTGTTGGCTGTGTCTCCGTTGGCAACAACACGGTCCGCTCCTACTACCACAGCTGGGGGCGGAGGAGAGTTGGGAAGGTCACGAACCTGGCTTTGGATGCCTACAGCACTACCTGCCCCACGGTGCCCAGCCCACTGACCTGACACACCCTGGTGGGCCATGGCAGCGGCTGCCATGCTGTCAGTGATGAGAGTGGCAGGAATCTGCTCATACACCAACTCGAAGGCTGTCAGCCGGGCTCCCTGGTTGTAGGGCCGGGTCTCTGTGCAGAAGGTATGCTCCAATCGGCCCATCTCGTGCAGGGAGCGGATCACACCTGTGGGGTGTACCAGCGGACAAGCAGCGTGGCCCTGAGACTGGGGCTGCAAGTGCTGAGGCGAGCGGGGCACGGCACAACTCTCAGCCTTTTCTGTTTCCTGTGCCGGCCGGACACACTGTTCTCACCTGCTCTCATCACTTCTACATCCACTTTCTGACACCCTGAGATTCCTCAGTCTCATACAGCAGCCCCGCCACTCCGATCTTTATAGAACCTTCTAGTTATTCTCATGTTTGTTCTGCAGTGTTGGTGATGGTGGGACCCACGGCGGTGCATCTGACGGCAGGTGCCCTACAGCGGAGCCGCACACCCAGCTCTTAAAGGAGGGTTCTCAGCAGGGCCACACCGCTGACCCCTGTCCTTCCTTTGTACTCAAGGCTGCAGATGCCTGGCGCCTCCCACAGTTCACTCCCTGGAAGTCGCAGTTGTTTAGTGAATGCTGGCTGAGTCAATGAATGGGGCACGTGAGCCTTGTTCTAAAGATCTGGGTTCCCAAAATCCAGTGCTGGATTTAGGCAGATAGGAGAGTTTCCTGGACAACCAAGGGCCAGGAGGAATCTGCTGCCTTGACTCCCAGATCCCTGTCTCCTGGTCACAGCTTTCCCATCTTACTCCCCATCCTCTGGGAGTCAACACTATGCCCCTTCTCTAGGCAGGTGACCCAGGGAACTTTCCGGTCTCTGATAGTAGAATTACTTCAATTCACGGGCAAAATGGGGGCCAAGGTCCTAACACCACTAGCTGAACTTGATATACCCATACCTACCTGCAAGCGACTTCCTACGTGTCTCTGTTCATGAACTGATATACTCGGGGCAGGAAAACACAACAACAACCTCCTAATTAATATCCTGGGCTGGAGAGACGGCCCAGTGGTTAAGAGCACTTGCTGTTCTTACAGAGGACCTGGGTTTGGTTCCGAACACCCACATGGTGGCTCACATCCAGCTTCGGAGGATCCAACACTATCTTTTGTCCTCCCTGGGCACCAGGCACATGTGTACATACACACAAGCAGGCAAAAACACTTATACACACAAAAATAATACTTGAAAAAACAAAACGATACAAAACCAATATCCACATTTCTGTGGATGAAGTAGTTTGGGTTCCTTCTTTTGGGTTCTGGGGACTCAATCCTGGACTTTGTTCATGCTAAGTATACACTCTTTTAAAAGAACTTATTTTTAATTCTGTGTGTGTATATGCATGTGAGTGCAGGCGCCCATGGAGGCCAGAAGAGGGTGTTGGGTCCTCTTGCAGCTGGCGTTGCAGGTGGTTATGAGCTGTTCAGTGTGGGTGCTGAGAACTGAACAGGTTCTTTTCTAAAGTAGTCCAATCTTAACTGCTGAGCCAGCCCGAGCTAAGCATGTACTCTTGCCCCTGAACAATACCTCCAGCTCAAGGTGTTTTGCCTTTTACCCAAAAAAGGCCCTCCCATGCGCCAACAATTGATGACGCCTCCTCACCTAGGGCTGTGCCATAGCCAGCGGTGGCCAGGGCGCCGGTGTTACAGTGGGTCAGCACGGTCACCTTGCCACCCTTGGGGCTGGTGTGCTCCAGGAGGTGGCGGGCTCCCAAGTCCCCGATGGTCCGGTTATCTCGGAGGTCCTTCTCCAGCATATCTTCAGCAAAGCTGATTACTCTGGAGACAAGAGGAGCTCTAAGCACTGTTGGAGTGGACCTGGCTAGCTGCTACCCGACCCTCAAAGTTGTGGGGCTCTCCTGGGACCTTCTCTGGGGACACACCTGCCACTCTACTCACTAAATCTGTGTATGTGAGCCAGGTGCTGGGGGTAGGGCACAGCACTAAACACCACAAAGCCCTCTGCCTCTGCGGTGATGACATCAGGGCGGGAGAGACAGTGAATTAACTGGTAAAATGAAGGACAAGAAGGGGAGAGGAGGGAGCAGGAACCTGACAGGTTCGGCTTGACCGGAAGTGGGAAGGGAAAGAGACCCGCAGAGAGGAAAGCAGGGCAGAGCACACAAAACCTCATGGCAAAACCTAGCAGAACAGGTGTCATAAAGCTGGTGTGGTGCTGCTAAGGGGCTGAGTTCCAGGGCCTGGGGAACACAGCGCAGGGATGGACTTCTAGTCCTGCAAGTGGGCCCCTGGACGCGGCACATGGCTGCACTGCGCCTGCTTCCCGGTATCCGTAGAAGGGAAAAAAAAGGGGAAGTAGTTTCCGCGTAGTGCACTGCCTGGTCCAGGATCCCGTACCTTTCCCGCACGGTCTCCTCGGTGGCGCCCTCCTGCTCCGCCTCCCGAGCTGCCACGCGAGCCAGATCGCGGGCGGCACGGGCCATGTTGACAGCGGTGGGCCTGGCGGCGACGAGGAGGCGCAGCTGGTCTTGCACGAAGGCCACCAGAGCGGCAAGCCCGGGACCGCCGGCGCCCGCCCGCAGCTCCACCGCCAGGCTGAGGCAGCCCACCAGCGCGATGGCGGGGGCGCCGCGCACCTTCATGGCGCGGATGGCCTCCCCGGCCTGCTGCACCGAATCCAGTGCCTCGTAGCGGCAGTGCTCAGGCAGCTGCAGCTGGTCGAGGATCTGCAGCGAGCCCGGCGAGTAGCGGATGGCTTCCAGTCGCATGGTGCCCGGCGCGCTGGGCTACACTGCAGCAGCCGGCTCAGGCTGAGGGGCGGGGCCGCGTCCTGGTGCAGGCGCCTGCGCATGCATGCACGCCGCGATTGGCTGATTGGCTTCTTCCGGTGTCGCAGCGCCAAGCCAAGTTGGGAACACCAAGGCAGTCGGTGATGGGGTAGTTCTTGCCGAGACCTGTTCATCCCTTACAGAAGCGATAACTCGGCAGCCTCCTCAGGTTTGCCCGTCCACGGATCACAACCTTAATCACTGAGTCAAACGACCTTCCTCGGACTACTTCTAGCCCCATTTCTTTAAAAACAAGTACCATGAGGAACCTTTATTATTAGGGGCTGAAGAAATTGCTCAGTGGTTAAGAGTGCATACTGCTGCTCTTGCACAGGACCAGAGTTCAGTTCCCAGGTGGCTTCACAGCTGGCTCTACCTCCAGTTACAGGGGTCCTCTTCAGACCTCACTGGGGCAACATACTCGTACATGAAAACACTTAATTAAAAATAAATCTTAGGGGGGCTGGAGAGATGGCTCAGAGGTTAAGAGCACTGGCTGCTCTTCCAGAGGTCCTGAGTTCAATTCCCAGCAACCACGTGGTGGCTCACAACCATCTGTAATGAGATCTGGTACCCTCTTCTGGCCTGCAGTCATACATGCTGTATACATAATAAATAAAGCTTTAAAAATAAACAAATCAATCAATCTTAGACTTTAATCTCAGCACTTGAGAGGCAAAGCTCTGAGTCTGAGTTGCCCTAGTCTACAGTGAGTTCCAGAACAGTCAGGGATAGCGGAAACCCTATCTTAAAAAAGCAAAACATGGATTTCTCTATTTAGCCCAGGTTGGACTGGACCACACCTTGACTCTACTGCTGGGGTGCCAGGGTAACAGGTGTGTGCCAGCACACACCTGGTCACTGGTGGGACCAGGGCATTTCTGGTGGTCGGGTCATCATGAGTGGCTCACAGCAGCCTATGGCTTGCAGGCTGGGTGTCCTGTCTGCCTCCCCCTGTATTACTTCTGTGGCTCCAGCAGCCTGGCCCTCTTTAACCTTCCTATGCAGTCCCTGCTCCCTCATTCAGGAGGCCACCCCAGGCCATGACCAACCTTTTGTTGTTTTTATTTTTCTTTTTTGGTTTTTCAAAACAGGGTTTCTCTGTAGTTTTGGTGCCTGTCCTGGACCTCACTCTGTAGCCCAGGCTGGCCTCGAACTCAGATCCACCTGCCTCTGCCTCCTGAGTGCTAGGATCGAAGGTATTCCCTGCCGCCGCCGCCACCACCGCCACAGCATGGCGGCCATGGCCAACCTTCCTCCTGTCCTGTGGGGACGCTGTTGTCACAGCGGTGGTCTAGCTGGTGGAGGTGAAGGAGGACAGCTACTAGGTGACTTCAGCAACCCAAGCCAGGGACAGAGAACAGGGCTTTAATGTTAGGGTGTCAGCGGCTACCCCCGGCAGACATCCTCACCAAGACTCAATAAATAATGATCTGTAGAGGGAGAGAGGTCTGGCTGGGCTGTAGCCACGGGGCCTGCAGTCCGTAAGGTCTCGCTGAGTCCGGGTCCTGGCGTCCGGTCCCCAGAATTCTGACTCCCCTACTCGCTCTCTGAGTCTGAGTAGTCGGCCACCAGGGAGGCACTGGGGGTGCTGGGGTGCAGGAGGTCCTCCTGGGAGGAACCCAGGGGTAAGGCCTGCTCTCTACAGTTCCTGTTGGATTCTGGTGTCTCGCTGGTCCTAGGGGCCTCTGCTGGCTCTTGAGGGCCATCCTGGGTGGTTCCTGGTGGCCCTCTCGGTTCTGCTGGCAGGGGACCGTCTGCAGCCCTCTGGGGGCTTCCTGGAACGTCTCGAGACCTTCTCCTTACTATGCCCAGGTCCCCCACTGTGCCTGTGGTGCTGGGGGTTGGTCTGCGGCCCTGGCACAGCTTCCTCAGGACGGTGCTAGCTTTGCTGCTGCTGGCACTGGGTCCCTGGGCCGAGGGGAACCAAGAGCGGTGGATGATCTCGGTGCGCTTCAGTTTCTGTTTGTCCTCATAGGCTGTGGAGAAGAAGGGTTACTACTGTACAGGGTCTGGGGTTCAGGGGCAGAGTGTGCGTAGACCAGACCCCAAGCCTTGAGCTTCCTCCCCACCACTGAGCAACAGGGCCCCTTAGGGAGCAGGGGCCCCAAACCCTGCGTGCAACCTCTGCCTCCCAGGGACCTCCTGGCCCAGTGGCACCACTCACAGTCCAGCGTGTGCAACCTCAGCAGCGCGGCCAGCCTCCGGTCGTCCTCCGACTCCGGCACGAGAGGGATGGCGAGGCTGGCCTTCGCCTGCAGCGCCTGGTCCTTCTCCTCCTCCTCCTGCATGGCTCTCTTCTTTTCCTGGGGGTGGGTGTGACACACAGGGAGGGAGGTCAGAGCCCTGCCTCCTTGACACCCACAGGTCTCACTCCTGGCACTGGGTTTCAGTTTCTCCCTTGACACTGAAGCAAGGGAAGGGCCCATACAGCACTGTGATGCAAAAGGGGACCCAAGTGGAGGGGTTCATGTCAGTGTCCTGTGTTCTGTCCCTCATGCATTCATGACAAAACGATGGCCATGTGCTACAACACACTTTGATCAATGATGGGCTGCAGGTGTGACCCACTAGATAAATTCCATAAGATGATAAAGAAGGTAGGGTGGCCCATGCCTGTGATCCCAGTACTTGGGAGGTCCACACAGGAGACAGGAAATTTAATGCCACACTTAAGCCTGGCCACACTGCCAATGCTGAGTTTCTAGAATTTTTTCTACCCACCCCTCTTTTTTTGGAGGTGGGGGGTAAGGTCTCCCTCGGCAACCCAGACGGACCTAGAACTTGAAGTAGTACCCTTGCCTCAGCTTTCTGAGCATTGTGGTTATAAGCATGAGCCAACCGGCCCAGCTTTCTGTTTTTGAGGTTAGTCTCCAACTCCTGGGCTTTTGGGAGCCTCCCATTTTCAGTCCCCCGAGTGGCTGTAACCACAGACAGATATCATCAAAACTGGCTCCCTGCTTATGTTGAAACTTAGTTCGCTGTGTGATGGTTGACCACATGAGGATTTGGGCAGGCGACCAGGTTGTGAGGGCTCGCCTTCATCACGGGATCACGGGATCAGTCCATAAGGAGCCTGCGTGTCCTGTCTGCCCCTTGAGGACCCAGCAGGAAGTTCTGAGGAACCCGACCAGGCACTCTGTACAGAGTCAATTTGTAGATGCCTTAATACTAGCTTGTATAGCAGCGAATAATACATTTTTAGTATATAAACTTCTCAGTCAGTGGAATGTTATAATAGCAGGAAGGAATGAGGCAGGAGCATGACTATGTGCTTGCTGTACACAGGGAGCCTGGGGCTCAGAGGGGAAATGACCAGCTTGCAAGTGGGATGTGGGGCACAGGTCTGGGTCTGCTGATGTCCACTGTGGGGCCCCTCACCCGGAAGTGCCTGCGGAGCATGCTATTCAGAGCGAAGTCATCCTTCCAGGCGTTCTGGGCCTCCTGGATGTGGCTGAGCGTGGGGAGGGCCTTCTTCAGTGTGCTGCGGTCAGCCTCACCATGCTCCAGGCGGAACATGGCATCTGTCTCCAGTTTCTCTTTCTTCTCATGCTCTGCAAGGACCACGTAAGCATGACTCTGGGGAAGCAGCCTGGGGTCATGTGGGATGGGCGAGCAGATGGTGCTCACCTGTGGTCAGCACCTGCTCATTGTCTTCCATATCCCAACGCTCCTCCTTGCGACTGGCACCGCTCACGATGACGTAGTCACAGTTCGCAGGGTCTGTTTGCATCTCGATGTAGTTGACACAGAGGTGGCATTTCATCCGGAACCTGGAGAGGACCTGGACTTAGGATGCAGTGGTCCTATCCTGGGAACCACGCCCACTTCCTTTGGTGTAACACACTCTGAGGAATCACGCAGCACCCAAGGCACCCAGCAGTCACCCCAAGAAAGACAGCAGGCTTGCATCCAGACGGGGCAACCATAGACTGAAGGGGCTGGGGTCCAAAGTACAGCGCCTGCTCAGCATGCTCCAGGGCTGGCCAACATCTGGTGCAGGGTGCGGTGACACCCACTTGTGATCCCAACACTCCCTAGGCTACACAGTCAGACTGTCTCCATACCAACCACCCAGACACTAAGGCTGCTCTTTCACTCATTTGCCCATTCCTCACCTACCTATCCACCACACCATCAGTCCATCCACCACACCATCAGTCCATCCACCCCCATCAGTCCATCCACCTCCATCAGTCCATCCACCCCCCATCAGTCCATCCACC